ACAAAGACATAGAAAATGAAGGCATGATTCCCTGGGGGTCCTCAGTGGAAGAATCTTCCACAGCTTGCTTTTCTGAGAACCTTTATATCTTGTCCTGAGAATTTCAAAAGTAAAACTTGCAGATGGGCTATAGGTTCTACCTTAGAGGGTAGGTTCAAGGGCCAGTGAAATCTTTGTTATTTTCATTACTATGACCCCATTTACACACTAGGGCAAGCAAAGCCTGGGGAATCTCAAATTAGTTGACCTTGAGCAAATTCCTTAATCTTTGAGACTCAATTTCGTATTTGTGAAACTTACTTCACAGGGTTATGGTAAAGATAACACGAGCTCGGGGCCTTTTATGAAAAGCCTAGCCCTCATACATAGGTGGCTGCTCTTCCTATCACAGCCACGATGTGCTGAGATTCTGAGGCACCTTAAGCCTGGTGCACAAGAAAATGTGCAGATATGCAATAAGAAAATGGAACTCTAGGTGACTGGGCTGTTGAAATTATTTTTTAAAAAATTAATGAGTGCCGAGCCCGTGGTGCGCCTGGGAGAGTGCGGCACTGGGAGCGCAGCAGCGCTCCCGCCGCGGGTTTGGATCCTATACAGAGATGACCGGTGCGCTCACAGCACTCACTGGCTGAGCACAGTGCGGCCGGTCTCAAAAAGGACCAAAAAAGGGGCCGGCCCGGTGGCGCACTGGATAGTGCGCCACTTGGGAAGCGCAGCGGCGCTCCCGTCCGAGGGTTCGGATCCCACATACAGACCGGTTCCCGCTCACTGGCTGAGCGAGGCGCGGGAGCAACACCGAGGGTTGCGATCCCGTTGCCGGTCCCCAGTACGGTATGGGGGCGACACTGAGGGTTGCGATCCGTTGCCGGACACGGAAAAAGACAAAAGACAAAAAAAAAAAAAAAATTAATGAAAAGACCTTTTGGTTCCAGATACATTGTTAGTCTCTGTCTCTTCCCAAGATCAACAAGGAGAAAGCAGATTTTGTGTTTGTCTCACACGTCTGCTTTACCTTTCATCCTAATCCTAAATTATTCCTCTTTCTCAAATGCAGCGTGCTCTCTCTTGCCTCGAATAGTGTCAGTCCAGCTCACAAGACATCTGTGAGACTGAGCATCACTCACTCCATCTAGGGAGCCCTCACCACTTGCTGTGTCCTTGGTGTGAGCCGTGCCCAGGAAGTTATACAGTAACTAGGGGTGAGGTAGTTGGAAGAGTAGGTAGAAACAGCTTTCTCACTGTAAAGAAGGGACCTAATGATTAAGTACTGGTATGGTAACAGCCGGTCCGGCTTGCTGCATCACAGACCACCAAAGATAATAATCATTGTCATAAGTAGTGACTTTAGGTCGTGTCTCAGTAATTGCTTCTTGGCTTTTTCCACTGCTTTGTGTGAACGGCCTACATAAACTTGGTCTCAACCAGGGGGTGGCATGGAGAAATTTTGCCAGTGCTCCTGGGTCACCACCTGACTGATCCGGTACCCTGTAAATAAATTACTCTCTTACTTAAAATCCTTTGTTTTACTGCATGGAAATGCCTGCTTTGTTTTTAGGTCTCAAGATACCCTCTCAGTTTGGTGGGTATTTTGTCTTTGCTCTGCCTTTAGACAGCATCTCCTCCAGAAAGTGTTTGATTGATCACACCCTGAGTTGATCCCTGTTCATGCATCCATCAAATGTTACTGGTTCTTTTTTATGTCTGGCACGGAGCTAGGACCTGGTGACAAAAAAGATGAATGAGGCATAGTTTTTATCCTCCAGGAGCACACAGACTAGCAATGAGATAGATGTATAAATAGGAAATAATACTGTTACTGTGTGCTGCGAAAGAAAATTATGCATTTATTCAACAAACGTTTAATGATCACTTACTCTTTGCATGCCTTATGCTGGTATGAAATACAAAGATGAATAGGACACCTTTTCTGCTTTTAAGGTGTGTCTAGTGCAGGAGACAGACAAGTCAACAATCACAATGGAGGAACAGAGTAGTTGGCACCAGGTTCATGTGGGAGCCCTGAACATGCCACCTGCCAGATGGAATTGGTTGGGAAAGTTTCCCACAGATTTTATATAAAACAAGAAAAAGGCAGGGATAGATTCCAGGCAGAGACAGCAACATGTATAAAGGCAGAGTGGCTCAGGAGAGGCTGGCATTTTAGAGAAACCCAAAGCAGCTTAGTGTGGCTGGTTCCTAGGGCGAGAAGGGGGAACATGAGAGAAAAATTTGTAGAGGTAGGCAGAGGCCAGACCACAGACACTGGAGAACCCTTGATCATGTTAAGCAGGGAAGTGGCCTCATCAGATGTGCATTATAGAAAGACCACTGTAGCAGAAGTGGATGGGTTGGCACATATGGGGGCAAGACAGTGAAGTAGGAGACTGTTTCATAATTTCATTCAAATGGGAAATAATGAGGTTGAATTTAGGCAATAGTATTGGGGATAGAGAAAGAGATGGATTTGAGAGGCACGAAGGGGTGGTAATGGGCTGAATGATGTCTTTCCCCAAAATTCATATGTTGAAATCCTAATCCTCATTACATCAGAATGTGACTATATTTGGAGATAAGTCCTTCCAAAAAAGTAATTAAGTTAAAATGAGGTTATTAGGGTGGGTCCTAATCTAATATGACTGATGCCCTTATACGACAGACACACACACAAAGGAAAGACCACATGAAAACACAGGGAGAAGACAGCACCTACAAGCTAAGGCGACAGACCTCAGAAAAAACCACCCCTTCTGACAAAGCCTTGATCTCAGACTTGTAGCCTCCAGAACTGTGAGAACATCAGTTGCTATTGTTTAAGCCATCCAGTCTGTGGTACTTTGTATGGCAGCCCAGCAAACTAGTACAAGGAGAAGTATCAGGAGGCTTGGTAAGCGTAGGGAGGTAGAAAGCACAGGGAGGGAGCGAAGGGTGACTTTGAGGTTTCTGATGTGTGCAGTCTAGCATGTCATGCTGCTGTATCCAAGAGGTGCACCTCAGGAGAGGTGGAAGATGGTGCGTTCTAGTTTGGGGGTCCCTCTAGGAAGGCTGAGTGGAGCTTCCCACCAAGCAGCTGGATGTATGGGCTGGAGCTCCATCGAGTCAGATGTTCTGGATACGGACATTGAGATCTCCAGATAGAGGGGCAGTTGATGCAGAGCAGGGGACATGTGTGCTGTGAGAAGAGAAGGCAGAGGACAGGACTATAGGGCACTCCATCACTGAGGGAAGGGGGTGAAGGATGACAGCCTGGGCACAAGAGAGAGTGGGAGACATTTGTGGAGGGACTCAGAGAAGAACAGTATCAAGAGAGCCTCTCAAATGATGGAGAGATTGACACTCTGAAGACTCTCTTCACACACACACGTGCACGCGCTCACACACACACACACACACATTTGGTCTGTTGCTTTGCAATAATTTTTCCCATTATCTTATGCATATTACTCTGCAGGTTTTAGCATCAGAACCAGAGTAATGTCTGTTTGCTTCTCCAGAGGCAGCAGAATGCTTTTTAGCTTTATGCCTGCAAGATAATGCCTGCCCTCATGGCAGGTGGGCACCTCTAGCCATCCTCCTGACAGAGGCTGCCCGCTGGTCACTTTCTCTCTCACCTGGAGGTGTCTCTGCTGGGTTGTCTTGATTTTCCTCCAGGACCTTCCTTAGACCTTTCCTTAGTGATGAGGGTTGGCTGGGAGATAGGAACTCCGCAGCTCTGCTACAGGGCGTCTGAGGTGGGACTGCTCTTTTTAAGGTGCATTGAGGGGCTGGGCAGAATCCCCGTGCCTTCGGTCGGCATGCATAGGAATTATGGAAACCACTGCTCCCACTGTCCTCAGTTTCCCCAGACCCGGGCAGGACCCAGTCAGCACGGGCACTTCGTAGGTTCCGGCGTGTCATGCTTCACTTACTCTGGGGCAAGGGAAGGCACATGGACCCCTCTCATTTACTCCTCACTCCAGCCCAGTGACAGATGCCTTGAAGGAAGGTGAGGTGACTTCCCTAAAGCCACATGATTAATTAGAGACCCAGGACTTGGAAGATTTTTCCAGCTGTCCTCTCCCCAACTACTCGGTCCTACTCCAGCCTTGCTCCACGGTCGCTCCAGCTGCCCATGTGCCAACGCCAGAATGCTTGTGCTGAGGGCCTGGAGCACCTTTACTACACACAGAGTCATCTGGCCAGGGCCAGTAAGCCCGGCAACCAGTCACAAACATTTCCCATCCAAGGTATCCTCGGGGGTGTGGAGGAGACAATGTGAAGAGAGCAAGCCTCCTGGCTTAAGAAGTGTCCTGTCTAGTGGAAATCTGAAAACTGGATGAAATGTCACAGGTCGTTTTTGCTCCCCTCCTTACCTTCCACAGCAATGCACACTCACTGTCTTTTTGGAGTCTCAAAAACATTGTAAGTGGGAAGGGCAGGGACTCTCACTCACTGAAGTGAAACCAGATGAGATCTGCCTGCCAGCTGGGCAGTCCCAGGGGCCTAAGGCAAGCTCAAGCCTTGAGTGACAAACTTGGCCCTCTTGTCACCTCAGCTCATGGCCTTTCTGAGGTCCCCCAGCATGAATTGCCTTCACGAGAGACCCCACCAGTGGTGACCCAGCCTCTGCCTGAGCATCAGCTGGGAGCAGGGATGGGGACCCCCAGCTCTCCAGCTTCCTGGCAACAGCCTCGACACTTTGAGCTGTTCCAGTCCTCTCTTATTTCAAGATTAAATCTCCCTCCCTAGAGCTCCCTTCCACAGACAGGAGAAAAAGACATGTGCTGAATACCAGCCCTGAAGCAGGAGGCCTGGGAAGCTTTTCCTTCTCACCCTCTTGCTGAGGTCAAGGCTTGGAAAGGCAACGCTGGGCCTTTGGCTTCCTGGGCTGGCTGGAAGCAGGCAGCCACCGTGCCTGCAGGGAATTCCTCACAGCAGAGCTGTTTCCTCATACCTGAGCTGGCCACAGTGCACGCACCACTCCCGGCCTGGGCACGCTATTTAAGGCCAGCACCCAGGAGCTGCTGTGAGTCACGGCACCCAGGAGGGCAGCGGCAGCTCCACTCACCCCAGCACCCGGCTGCACCGTGGGAAGGAGTCCTTCCCCTCGCCATGGCTTCCCTGGGGCAGATCATCTTCTGGAGGTAGTGTAGTCTTCTCTCTATCCTTACAGGTGGAGGGAGTGGGGGTAAGGTCTTTTGGGGTGCTGAGCACGTCTGGGCTGTCCCATAGGGCCCCACCTGTACCCTTACCTGATCCAGCATTGGGCAAACGGGAGCCTGGCCAGACGAGAGCCTAACTGGACTTGACTTAACATCACACCCCAGCCACTCGGGACACCTGTTCAGGGCTAGGGTGTTTTGGGGTTAGTGGTCTGCCATGGAAGGCTGGCACCTGTTGGGGCAGCTCTGAACTTAGGAGAGTGTGTGCCTGACTGAGAGCACCACTGTGATGTCGAGGCTCTGAGCACTGTTGCAGCACTGAGCAGGGTGGCATGGGGCGGCTTGGTGGGATGGAAGGGAATCAATGACGGACGGTGGTGGGATGCAGGAGGACCCTCTCTACAGCCCCCAGGACGAAGGGGGCGAGCACACTTTAACTCTCCTCTGTGGGTGTGATGTCTTGGAAACACTGAGCAATTCACACCAACACCCCTTCCTTACCCCCCAGCTCGAGGACGGGGTCCCTCGTTTTCTTGGGAGCTCCTCAGAGAGGAGACCCTCACTGCTGCTGCCTAACTCCCCAGAGAGGAAGAAAGAACACGTCCCCTTCCCCACCTCTTGCCTCTCTCACTTAGCTACACTCCAGTTACCTCTCTTTTCCTGGGGACAGTGAAGGGTTTTCTTGAAATGGTTAGTGATTCAATGTCGGTCTCAACTCTTGACAGTGTTGGGGAAGACTGGTGCTTGTTGGTTCTGGGGGCTGTGTGAAGGACGAGCCCGCCACTCTCTGTGTCTTTTCCAATGAAAGGAAGAAAAGCCAGGAGGGATGGAGGAAAGGAAGCAGGAAAGGAAACCTCAGATTCACAGTAAAAAGTTTGTGAAGAGACTGAGGGAACAACATTATTTCTCAGAGGCAGCCTGAAGAACTTTTTCTTTGAACAGAACATCAGCTCCCTCCCTCACGTTCATCTGGGTGTGGGGACTCGGGTCTACAGGGGCTGCTTGGGCAGCACGCCCCTTCCTGTGCCTGGTGAGGACACTGTGCTCCCTCAGATCCATGGACCAGCAGCAGGTGGTGGGGGGCTTCCATTCAGACTCTTCCATTCTGAGAAAATGTCCCCAAGAAGCACCTATGTCAGAGGAGCTAGCGTTTTGTGAGCACCTCTCTCCCTGCCCTGCACTAGGTGCTTCTAGCAGCGTCTCTCTCAATCCTCACCCCCACCTGTGAAGGTGCATCATCACCTGAGATGTGAAGTCATTTGCTCAAGGCTGCATGCGTGGGGCAGGACAGCTTTAAACTCACTCGACGTCACCTGCCACCCCGAGCCCTCTCCCTGGCACCATGCTTGCCCCTGCTCCACCCGGCCTGGCTCTCCCGCCCCCCACAACCCCCTCCAGCTTTGGTCCCAGAGATGCGAACACTCCTCATGCAACAAGTGGCTCTGTTGTCCCAAGGAGGCACACGTGTGGGCTCTCTAATAATACATTACAACTAGCCTGACTGGTTTTGCTGGAGGATTAGCAGGAGGTGGGTGTTCAAACTTCGGATCCCCCACCCTTTAGAGACCCACTGGGATCAACAGAGGCTGCTCTTGTTGGCCCCAGCGTGCCTTGTTAGCTATTCGTGCTCTGCAGTTGAAAAGCAGTGACAAGCCACGAGAGTGGCAGATCCTCTGCACAAAGGGACCACCAGGAAGAGGGCCAATGAGCAGCTTCAGTGGGAAGCAGGGTCTGGGAGTCTCATCCCAGGGATGCAGGTGGAACCCACCTGAGTGGACCTGGTGCCCACTCTTGCCTTTAACAAACCCTCTCTCTTCACCATAATTTCCTTAATTCATAATACCTCACATTGAGGTAATCATGACCTTGGTGATGGGAGAGCTCATGAGAGGGCCTGCCATCCTCTGCAGACCCAGGGGATTATTCTCTTTAAAAATTACTGGAGAGCTTAGTTCCCTCACGTCTCACTCTCAGAACACATGCGCTCAGGCACGGAACGCCGGTGTGCGGTTTCTACCGTGTCCCGCCTCCTTGGCACATTGAGGAGCTGTGTGAGCAGAACTCTCCTCCCACTTCCCATCCTGGCTGTCAATGGCAGCAGCATTCACCCATGGGACGTTTGTTGGGTGCCTGCTAAGAGTCCAGAAGTGGAAAAGGTACAGTCCCAGCTCCGAGGGAGTTAAGTTCCAGTCAACAGTACTAACTGAGCACCTACCTATGTGCTGGGCATTGCACTAGGTACTGGGCAAAGGCAACAAAGATGCCGACAAGGTCATAGCCTGATGGAGGAGAAAGACTCCCAGACAAATAGATACTTCCAGCATGTCGTTCATAAGTCATGAGATAACAGGCGCAGGATGCAATGGGAGCCATTCCCTCACCCGAGGCCTCGGGGCAGGCTTCCTGAGCTGGACAATGGCTGGGCTGAGTCATGAAAAGTGAGTTAGTGTGATCTGAGTGAGGAAGGGTGGAAAGGAACAGGGTATAGTAAAATAGGACTCATGGGCCAGCACAGTGTGTTGGGAAGCTGCGAGAGACTCTGTTATCACCGCAACATCAAGTTTGAGGAGGGGAGTGCTCGGAGATGAGGCCGAGTGGTCATGCCAGGTCACGCTGGGCCTTACCTACCGGATTCAGACTAGAAATTTGTTGCTGGTGACAAGGGCCCTTGAAGGCTCTCAAGCAGGGGACCATGGTGGTCTTCATCTTTGGTGGGTTACTCCCAAAGTGTGGAGAATGGATATGATGGCAGCAAACCTGGAGGCAAGAAGAGCACTGGGAGACAGTCGCAGTCAGAAGTATAAGGAATGACAGGACCTGAAGCAGATTGACAGTCGTGATCCAGAGGAGAGAAAAGGATTCAAGAAACATTTAGGACCTAAAATTGGTGATATTTGATAAATGATTGGAGAAGCAGGTAGGGAGTGGATGGTGAAGGGTGGAGCCTGGAATGACTTCCATGTTTCTGGATTGGGCACGGTGAATTGGGGGAGAGAAGAGGTAGTTAACTCTGACACGTGTTGAATTTGAGATTCCCCTGGGACCTTCAGGCGGAGATGCTCAGGGGACAGCGGAAGACCTGAGGCCAAAACTGGGAGAGGTCAGAGCTGGAGAAATTGGTCTGAGTGTCAACAGCTCACAGGCAGGGAATAGTCATATGGGTGTCACTAAGGAAGGCACCTTGAACAAGGGACCAGGGATGGAGAGCTAAAGAAGACCAGCACTCAAGGGTAGGCAGAGGAAGGGTAGTCGAGGAAAGAGCTGGGGCTAAATGGTGGGAGAGGTAGGAAGAGATCAGGAGAGGAGTCTCATTGGATGACAACAGAGTAGAGTTTCATGGAGCACCCAGGGCTAGCAGGAGTGTCGCACAGGCCCAGTCAGGCCTGGTGCTGATGGGGAGATGCAATCCAGACAAGAACATGGTCCCTGCAGCATTTAAGCAGAACTCATGTGGCTTTACCCAGAAAGTGAGGAGGACAAGCTACCAAATGCAGCCAGGAAGGGCCAGGGATCCTCTGAGTCTAGGCTGAAGAAGGGCTCATGGTGCATTGGGCGTGCACGGTCAGCAGAGAAAATCAGATCGCTGTGACACCTGGCAGCTCTCCTTCCAGAGGGGAGGGACGCAAGCTAAAGCACAGCGACGCCCAGTCGGTGTGGATTTCAAGTTGTTAGTTCTTCCTTTGTTTTTTTTTTTTCCCCTGGATTCTTCATCTGTTCCATTCTGGCTCTTCTATCTGAAGGGAGCTTTTTGGATCATCTAAGACTGTAAGAAATCACCAGTCATGATGGGATTGAAAAGGAAGGAAGCCACTGGGTAAAGAAGAAGCAGGAATCTTCCTACCAGAGGAAGGTGGATGAAACAGAGAATGAGGGAGACTAGAACAAGGAAGGCTTGTGGAGCTTTGCGTTGGAGTTTTGGTTTCCCATTTCCCCTATTTTCAAGCTGGTGCCTGGCTCAGACATCCCAGACCTTGATGGCCAGAGAAAACAGTGCTTGGCAACATCATGAAAGCTTGCCTGCTGAGAAAAACTTACCGGGGCCTGGCCTGGGGAGATCTCAGCACAGGACATGTTGATGCTTCAAACCCCATTTAGATAAGAAAAAATGGGCCCATCTTTCAGCCTCTCTCAGGCTATAACATTTGAGTCTTCAGGGCCTTCAGAGCACACTGCATGAACAGGACAGGAATCTGGAAAATGTGAGAAATTGCACATTGGAAGAAAGGGGGCAACTGTGTTCCCGTCCCCATCAGGGCCACATCGCGTTCTGAGCACAATGCTCTCCTACCATCTCTACCTCTTGGAATGCTGCTCATTTCTTTCAACATGCAGCTCAAAGGCCACTTCCACTTTGAAGTCTTCCTGGATCTTTCTAGTTGCTATTAATTGCCATATTGATGAATACGTGTTTCCGGTGTCCAGCTGCTTCCCTCACCAGGGTTAGCTCCTTGAGGGTCTGGATTTTGTCTTGCTCAGTGTTGCAAGGGAGCACTGTAGCACTATGGCTACACATCTGGGCTCTGGGATCAGACTGCCTGGGTTCAAATCCATGTGCCACCATGAACACTTACCCTATATGAACTTCAATTTCCCTATCTATAAAATGGGGCTGATAATAGTACCTAACTCCTAGGGTTGTGTGAATGACAGGTGATAATTAAGTGTCTGGCACAACCTAAGAGCTCTATAAATGTTACCTATTGACATAGGCATTATTCGCAACTCCCTCTGCAATGCCCTGTACATGGCTCACTCTGCACAACAATTTAACTTCAATTCCACCAGCTCTTTTGTCCCTGAAATAGATGTTCTAATGAGGTTATACTTTGGATTAATTGCCACTGGGGTCTCTTAATGAGTTAACTCTAACAAAACTCTGGAAACTATTCATAGAGTTCTCCAGATTCTTGCTTTGGGAAAAAAAAAAAATCAAGTCTACCCCGTGTTTTGTTGTGTGAGTCTAAGACACAATTCTCTAAATC